TGAGATAGGGATAAAAAGAGTGCGAGATATGAGCATCCTGAGTGTGGTTAGAGAGGTGCTGCCCCTATGCATTGGAGGGAATCCAGACCGGCATCCCAGATGGCTTCTGGATGCCATCCTCTGGAGGTTATAGATGTCCCAATGGAAAGAACTTCCAGAGAAAACAGAAACAAGCTGCAGGGATTTATGCAACTTTAGTGGTAGTAAATTCTGCTAAGCAAATGCATGAGTTTCTCATTAAATAACCACATGTAGCATTTACTGACTGAATGCCTTTGTGATGAAAAAATAGAAAAACAGAAGAAATCTGGAATCTTCTATTCTCAGAAAAATCACCACTAAGAGGGATGATAAAGGTCCCTCCTATCTTAGAAAATCATGTGGTATTGGCTGGAAATGTATCCCTAGAACTTGTCATGGTTTTGGTTCCTTTTAAGTTTTATCTTTGAATTTTCATTGGTTTTATTTCCATTTTGTGTTATTCTGGTTNAAATGTATCCCTAGAACTTGTCATGGTTTTGGTTCCTTTTAAGTTTTATCTTTGAATTTTCATTGGTTTTATTTCCATTTTGTGTTATTCTGGTTGTTTTTGAGTTCTTAGGTATTTCTTGTTCGTTCTCTGTTTCCCTCTTGGGAACGATTTTCACCCCTAGCATTTTCTTCATCTACACCTGCTGCTGTGTAACATCCACACATGCATGAAGCCAGCCAGACAGCCACTCTGTTAGGAATCCAGTTTGTGTGGCCTGTTTGTGTCTGTCCTTTTTTTCCACCACCAGGTGGTGCCCTGTCTTTGCTGTCCCTCCCTGCACACCTGCGGCTCATTGGATCATTATCTGGAGGAGTATTTGAGCAGTGGACTGTCACTAACTCGGCGCCAGAGTGTTTGCGAGTTTTGGGTACTCTAGCCAAGCTGAGTTTAGCTGAGTCTAACCTAGCTTTGTTTCTTTGAGTCTAATGGGTTTTTTTGTCTCTGCTCCCCGGCGGGAAGCTTTCCTGTGTTACTGGTTTCCTGGACCTTCTCTCCCCTGGAAGGAAAAACCAGGTTACATTGAGAAGGGGAAAACCTCTATATGTTCCGTTCAAGTTCCCATCGGAAATCCGAGTGACAGTCCGCCCCATTACTCCGCCGGGTCAAACGCTTGTCAACCTGTCCGCCCTCCAACGTGTGCACTATTCTCTGGATTTACCACACAGACTGGATTCAAGGACTAACAAGGCCCCCCTCTAATGTGAGCCCCGTTCTTGCAAAATCTAACTGCTTCCAAGATTCCCACGGTACCTGAACTGACACTGAACTTCCCATCTCACTTCCAGTTCCGGGTTACCAGCTCACTGAGTTCCAGATCCAGCTCCTGTTTTACCACCTCAATAAACCTGTTAAACTTTTTCCATGCAGAGGGGGTTCTCTGCATGTGGGTCAGATTTGTTAAACCTATCATGACACACTCACACATAAGAGGTCTACGATGTAAGCCAGAGTGTTGTAAAGAACACCAACATAAAACAATANAAATGTATCCCTAGAACTTGTCATGGTTTTGGTTCCTTTTAAGTTTTATCTTTGAATTTTCATTGGTTTTATTTCCATTTTGTGTTATTCTGGTTATTTTTGAGTTCTTAGCTATTTCTTGTTTGCTCTCTGGTTCCCTCTTGTGTCAGTCTCCTTTTCCCTAGCTCCCTTCTAGATTCCTCTGTCCATGCCTGCACCAAATCTGCTAATTAGCCTGGTCTTTGTTTCTCTCTCCCATATATGCACCTCCTGCTCAGTAACTATTGCTGATGGTCTACGGGATTTGGATGTGCATGGCGTGTGTTTCTAAGTCGCTTGTGGAGAAATGTCTGGGTCGTAAGTAGCGAGGAAACAGGAAGTGATTCCTGTGGGATGGAAGAAGGAAAGAGTGTAAACGAAGAAGAAGGGAAGAGAGCAGGCCCGGACTGGGAACAATTTTCACCCCTGGCATTTTTTTCCGTCTACACCTGCTGCTATGTAGCATCCACACATGCATGAAGCTAGCCAGACAGCCACTCTGTTAGGAATCAAGTTTGTGTGGCCTGCTTGTGTCTGTCCTTTTTTCCACCACCAGGTGGTGCCCGTCTTTGCTGTCCCTCCCTGCACACCTGCGGCTCATTGGATCATTATCTGGAGGAGTATTTCAGCAGTGGGCTGTCACTAACTCGACGCCAGAGTATTTGCCAGTTTTGGGTACTCTAGCCAAGCTGAGTTTAGCTGAGTCTAACCTAGCTTTGTTTCTCTCAGTCTAACAAGTTTTTTTTTGTCTCTGCTCCTCGGCAGGAAGCTTTCCTGTTTTACTGGTTTCCTGGACCTTCTCTCCCCTGGAAGGAAAAACCGAGTTACACTGAGAAGGGGAAAACCTCCATATGTTCCGTTCAAGTTCCCATCAGAAATCCGAGTGACAGTCCGCCCCATTACTCCGCCGGGTCAACCTGTCCGCCCTCCAATGTGTGCACTATTCTCTGGATTTACCACATAGACTGGATCCAAGGACTAACAAGGCCCCCCTCTAATGTGAGCCCCGTTCTTGCAAAATCTAAGATTCCCACGGTAGCTGAACTGACCACTCAACTTCCCTTCTCACTTCCAGTTCCGGGTTACCAGCTCACTGAGTTCCAGATCCAACTCCTGTTTTACCGCCTCAATAAACCTGTTAAACTTTTTCCATGCAGAGTGGGTTCTCTGCATGAGGGTCAGATTTGTTAAACCTATCATGACACACTCACACATAAGAGGTCTACGATGTAAGCCAGAGTGTTGTAAAGAACACCAACATAAAACAATATTGTAGACAGGCAGTTCTTCAAGAATGAATCAATAAAAGCTCAGCGGTGTGTCAGCATTCACTGCCAGTCTAGGTGGCATGTGGGCAATGAAATGGAATAATGTAAACAGATGCAAAACCCTGTCATGCACACCATATTTTTGCAAAATATTCGAACATAAATTTGACAAAATATAATAGAAACATCATAGTTTGATTTAACGAAAGCATTTTAGTTTATTATAATTTAGTTTGTTGCAAGGAATTTACAGTTTGAAGAAATGGAAAATAACACCATATGCCAACCGTCACAAGGATGTGCATGACAAGAAAGGGCTATATATACTGCATGCATCATTTAGGTAGTTAACGTTGTATTACTTCTTGAGCTCCTTAAGTTATTACTGTCACAGGTAGGAGGTTCGGCCGGAGAGTCAGTGTTGGGGCCGGTATGATTTAAGCAGGCCCGGCCCTCGCACACTGACATTAGGACCGGCTCACTGGGCAAATGCCCGCTATCACAGATTACCAGTCTGAGCCTGGAAGAGTGGTAAGAACAGCAGAGAGGATCATCTGAGCAGCTCTTCTGTCCATAAAAGGCCTTTAATTCCAGTGCTACGTGTCCCGAGCTCGTAACGTCATCGATGACCTCTCACACCCTCACCATGGGCTGTTCTCCCTGCTGCCTTTTGGGAAGAGGCTTCACAGCTTTAAATTCAGACCCAACATCTTCTTCCCCACTGCCTTCAGACTGTTGAACTGTTGAGTAAACACTTACCGTAATCATGTCACAGACTCTGCATCACACTGATAACACCAAACCAAAACACTACATATTTGCACCACATATATTAATGCTGTGAACTTCCATATCAATGCACTTTTTTGAATCATGTTTTTTTCCCCCACAATGTTTACATTTGATCCCTGCTGCACTTTATGGAATGGAAATGTGCATGTGCTGTCTGAAAATCTGTACTAAACAAAATTTCATTTTGTATAAACTCTGTGTTTACAAAAAGACAAAAGTTGTCTAATAGTTGCTGACATAAGTCTCATTTCAGACTGAATGAAGCCATTGTGCACGTCGGCCCAAGTCTTTAGAGGGCTTTCAGCACCGAAACCAAGAGCAGTTGGACTCGACTTTTTTTTTTTTTCCTTTGGCCTTAAGATAATGACATAACTATCTCATTATCACGGTAAAACCGTTAATTGTTTTCTCCAGATAACAAGATAATCAGCTCATTATCATGAAAAAACAGTCATTGATTTCTCGAGATAACGAGTTGATTAACCTGTATGAGTAATGAATGAGGTTGGCCAACAGCCCTGGGTTCCCAGTCCGTCCATGCCTGAGGGCCCCGTAGTTGTGCAGTCATGGTTATATCGTGTGCACAAATCATGGGGATGATGGGGATTTTTTTTTTTTATGTGTCATGTTAAATTAAGCGTTAATTCCCACATATTTTGCTCCAATAAAATTAACAATAATATCGCGCATGCTCTCTTTGAGTGGAGCAAGAAAGGAGGAACAGCAGAAGGCTGTATGTTTTGCTTTGTGCAGGCGATCTGGAGTGGAGCAGGGCGGTGACGGAGAATGTGGGATTTCAGGGTTGGATAATGAGAAAATTTACTCGTTTTCTCGAGAAAACCAGAGTGAAAGAGGATCAGAAGGACACGACTGCTCTGTACGGAAGAGGATTAGGGCCACTGAAGAAATAAAAAAAGTTAACTGATTTTTCAGCAATGTCTTACTGGTCCTCCCAAACAACTCACATCTTTGTCAGTGAAGCTGATTGCTCACACATCTCTTCCTTCATGGTGCCCATCTACATTAAGATCCACAATTCTGGGATTAAAAATTCAGAATTCAGATTTTTTTTTCTCATATTAAACAGAAATAATATGTAAAAATCAGTTAACTTTTTTTTCAGTGGCCCTAATGCTCTTCCAAATCTCTTGGCTTTCATATTTCAGACATAATTCTGTTTCAACTATTTTCCAGCAGACTTTTTCCTTTCGCCTAACTTTCTCCTATACTCTGTGTTTACAAACACTCTGATATCTGTGCCATGAGTTGTGCATTTTTTCTATTAATAGAAGCATAATCCTTCCAGCCAAGGTGAAAGGTGTTGGGTTGGCCGCAGGTGGATTTGGTTGGGACCTCCTCCCTCATCAGGTCCCGCCCCCACTTGTTTCTAACGGCTCTCCATTTCGCAGCGGGCGGACCGACAGAAGCGGATCCTCTGAGCGGACGCTGGGTCTCAGGCTGGTCTGTTTTTCTCTCCTCTCCGCCCGCTGAAGCTCTTTCAGTCCCCGCTGCCATGGCGGACGGCTGCTTCCTGACGGCGCTGCAGCCCAACTCCTCCTGCACCGCCTACGCGGTGCCGTCGGACTGCCGGTCTGCGGACCCCTCGGCCAAAGTCCGGAGGGTCCAGGAGCAGGTCCGGATGCGGCTGGCAGAGAAGAAGAGCGCTTCCCTGTCCAGGCTGAGCAGCCCGCAGCTGGGGCCGGCAGCAGGTGAGGGAGGCGGAATAACGGTGCAGAGGAGGGGCCCCTGGGAACCTCAACTCTCTATAGAACAGACTTTAAAAACTGTTTAGGATATAGTTAAAATAAAGAATAACATGAAAAAAATTTTGATTGGGAAAATGAAACAGAAATAAATAGTTTTTTTTTTTATTGGTTTAGAAGCAAACTAAAAACAAAAATATTCCTGATTAGTTTTTTTAAGAACAGAAAAACCCAGAGGCGGTTCTAGACAGGGCCATGGCCACCCTTAGCCAGTCATTGGCCACCCCTGTGGCCAGCCGTACTATTTATCCCTCTAATACGAAAATGTTAAACATATTTAACATTTTAATTTTTCATATGTCAAAAAACACTGTGGTAATTATGCACACCAATATATTAACATTAAAGATTATAAATAGAGAATTCATGCTCTTTTGTCTTATGGGGAAAAGAAAATAATGTTTCTGCATGTCACAATTAATCTTCAGTGGAATCATAAATAACTACTTTAATTATAAGTAATCCATTGAATGTAGATATTATTACATGTAAATATTATTTAAAATCAATTTTAAATTTCCCTGGAATATTTACTTTAACAAGCATTTTGAACTTAGAATAAGTGTGCAACCTCATTTATTAAACTAAACACTCTCTTCCTAGGTTTTTGGTGTGTGTTTGGTTAATCCTTTAGTTCTATAATTGCCCCCATATATATTTTTTCTAGAACCACCACTGAAAAAAACAATTAAATTATTAATGGAGATGATTTCTGGTAGGCTGTTCTTTAGCCTAAAGAAACATTTCTGCCTATTTCTGCAAAATAAAACTAACTTAGAGCCACAAATATGAGTTTTATGAGTTTCTGGGTAAAATAAAACATTGTTGATGAACAGCTATGCAAGAAATGTTGCTTTGATTGTTATGAAAATGCTGCTTTATTTTTTTTAAGTAAAAAAGTATTTTTTTCTTAAATATTTTATTACATGATAGAAGACGTGCTACCTATTAGCATGCTTGATGGAGAAGGCCAAGTTTGAACAAATTGTTTCTGTCTCCTTGAACCCTAGTCGGCCTCAGCAGATGGCCGCTCACACTGAGTCTGGTTCTGCTGGAGGTTTCTTCCTGTTAAAAGGGAGTTTTTCCTCTCCACTGTGGCTACAAGCATGCTTAGTGTGAGGGATTGCATTGGAGTCAATGAGTCGATGCAAGCAGCTGGTTTTCCTTATGACTGGATGATCTGGTGAAGTGTAATGTGCCTTTAAATGATTTGTGTTGTTAATCAGTGCTATCTAAATAAACTGAACGGAGTTGAATTGAACGACCAGAATCAGAACTGCTGTTTATTTATTAATCCACTGGACTTTGTTTCCAAGTTTGAAGACGTTTTGCTTCCCATTCAGGAAGCTTTCTCAATTCAAATGTCAGGAATAACGTTGAGGTTTTAAACCTAGTTACATAGATTTTATTTGTACATAATATCTATATGTCTGTCTGTCTGTCTGTCTATCTTTTCTCAGGGACTAATCCAAAGTGGTGGTCTTGTTGGCCGCCTGCCCATGGTGGGCCATATTTTATCTCCTGACACTGTGTCTAAAACTCTTCCTAATCTGCATTCAGCACACAGGCCAACAGTAGCCAGGGGATTTTATTTATTTCCTCCAAACTGAAAACAGCTGCTATAAAAAAAACATTGTTGGGGAAAGTCCTGACTGAAACCTTCACAGCGTTGAATGTTTTGCTTTGTCGCTTTGCCCCCCCCCCTCCCACCACACACACACCCACTGTGTCTGCTGGATGACTGTTCACCCACACCGCTTAAACCACTGAAACATTCAGAAACACAACAATACTAGACAATACTAGGCAGTTGCCCCCTAAGTTTCTGGGGGCCCCTAAACTCTGTTTACATGTATAGTTAATGCAACTATTCATTATTTGTGCACATTAATTATGTTTTTGATAAAAAGCCTTATAATATTAAGTGTGTCTCAGCCCCAGCAGCAAACCATTTAAAAGCAAACGATGCAAAGAGCAGTGTTGCCAACTTAGCACTTTTATCGCTATATTTAGTGACTTTTCAGACCCTTTTAGCAATTTCTCCTCTCCTCTATCTTGCCTGCTGTCATGATTCATGCAGCTATTATTTCATCCAAATGAAAAATGGAGAAGAGATAAGCAGATCATGGCTGGTCTACAGTGAAAAGAAGGACTGAGATATTTACTTTTGCCATTGCATGAAAAGTCAGCTGAGTACAAAACCTAGAGAGGAAAACAACATGAAAAGGGACAAGAAGAGAGGTACAAAACGTCAAACAAATAATGTATGTCTATTCCATAAAAATTTCTGTATCTGCATAATGGGTCTGTTTTATGTGTTGTCTTCTCAATTCAGAGGGCCCCCTGCACGTCTTTACCTAGGGCCCCAAATGTCCTAAATCCGCCCCTGCCCATAGGGGACATGTAGGTGAATATTAGATGGAGAAAATGTCTTACAGTCTGCAGAAGGTAAAAAAACAGATTCATAACTGGGTGTGAACTAATTTCAGTTGAGCAGAAACTTCAGCAGAAACACAGAAGGTATCAAAACACTCAAAAGCTGAACTTGTCACCAGGGTTACAGGAAAGTGGCTTGAAAGCTTAGCTTTTATTGGACAATCTGTATTCCAGTTACAATGCAGCCCTTTGTAGAGTCAAGCAGAGTCCTGGTAACATCTCCACAAAGGGACTTCTCAGGCCTGGAGGAGGTGAGGCCATGATGTGGTGTCCACGCTGTGTGAGGAGCTCCAGGCTGAGTTCTTACTGACCTGATGGAGCTGACCTCTGGTACTCCAGCTCTGTATTCAGCTTTTGTACATAAAATCACATCAAACTACATTGTATCTGTGGACCTTTGGAACATGTGAAGGTGTTATTTCCTGACTGTTTCCTGTGTTTTTTTCCCTCGATGTGGAAAATCTAACGATGACCGCATGGATTTCCTTTATTTCTTCCACGTTAAGCAAAATGACATATGCTGGTGAAGATTCTCAGTCTTCCAGGTCATCGCAACCCTAAACAGAAGACCTCGCCTATTCAGACAGGGCAAAAATTCCCTTTAACCACCCCATTCAGAGACATAGACAGGTATGGGGCATTGCAGGCTAACAAAGAAGCCAAATGACCCCCATTCCAAAGAGGTGGACCCCTTCGTCTGTTTCAATTTGCGTGGTTTCTAAACAAAAACAAGGCTTTGTTGGGCTGCTGTATAAACCAGTGGTAACCAATTAAAAAACGGAATAAAGAAAATCATCAACCAGTAAAGATCCAGAGACATTTTCAATTATAATCTGTTACTTTAAACAGAATTTATCACTGAAATGAACTGAGGTGTTTATGCATTCATGTTATACATTGAATTATTAAATAATTTTTTTTTTAAATTTAACATTGTTCCAATTTAAAATTTAAAGTGTTTTTTTTTAAGTATCGAACAACAATTGTTCAGTTTGGTATATAGACATGTTCCTGATTCACATATTTTATAAAACAAATTGTATAAACACCTGAACTGACAATTTTCTGTCTTAATAAGAGCAGTGGGCTTTAGGCTTTAAACCTGGGTTTGAATGGAGACTAAGCCGTTCTAAAGCACATATCAAGGAGCTCATTTTGAGCCTGGATCCATATTTATTTTTGATTCTGTTCATGGTGGAGAATCCTGCTTCACAGCAGCAGGTTGAGCCAAACATCCTCTAAATGTTCAGGGTCATCTTTGAGCACACCATTTTACTTTTCTTTTACCAGTTCACCACAGTTCTTCCAGCAGTCCACACTTTCTCTGCTCTCTTTTTCTCATCATCTTCTCCTTCTTTCCCATCGCCCGGCTTGCCACAGGTTTGCCTGCTGTGTCTAAAAGTAGCAGCAGCAGCAACCCAGACTGACAGCAGCTCATTGGATCATTTGGATCACATGTAGCCTGGTGCCAGACGCTCCATACAGCATTACCATATTAACAGGAGAAGAGGCGCAAGTGAATTTAGAGACTGTTGTCGGACAACATGCGATAGTTTATAAATGTTTAAATCAGGTTGGGTCTGGATCCGGACCGCAGTCGGCTAATCCGTGGCCTCTGGTATAAAGCCTTGAACTCAACTCTATTTCTGACATTTTGAATTAAAAAAGCTCCCTGGATGGAAGTGAAACGTCTTCAAACTCGAAAAAAAGTCCAGTGGATTGTTTTTTAACTTATTTTGGAACAAGCAAAGTGACACATTTTTGCACAATGGTGGTGTTAAACCACACCAATGTCACTAAAGTGCAAAACATCCTCTCTGTTCTGAAAGAAACAAGGAAGGACAAACGTCTCCTCCATACGGCTGCAGTTTCCTGTGTCTGATTAAACCCGGCCTCCCTTTGACCCACATGATAGTAAAGACGTTAGTCTGTGCTGAACCTTGTGAGACTAATCTCATGAAATTCCTGTGTTAGAGCTCTAATAGTGTAGACACCTTCAACAGAGAGCCGCCACTGTGCAACAGCTATTCCTCTCTGGGAAGTCTCTCTCTGATCTTCGGAGACCCAGAGAGTTTTTTTTTTTTTTTGATCTTGGAGAATAAAACTGGCAAAAGGTTGTGGTCTTGGCTGGAATAACTCAGACTACTGCTCATCTGCTGCAGCATGTTTCACTAAAACCTGGCTGAGTGAACAAATATAGCTGCTTTGGACAGATCATGAATAAAACAGAGGAGTTGTGCACTATAAAATAAATGAACACTGATGCACACATCTAACACTGCTGTAGAAAACTTAAACTCCCCACCTCGAGTCATTTTTTTATGAACTTTAGCCACAAATATTAGTTTTATAAGTTTCTGGTTAGAAAACATCGTTGTTGATTAACAGCTATGCAAGAAATGTTGCTTTTATTTTGAAGAAAATGCAGCTTTATTTTTTAATTTCCCCAAAAAAATTCAAGATGGTCCTTTAATGGAACTGTGTTAAAAATGGCCTTTTTTCACCATAAT